ATTGTTTACCGATAGCAATTAGTTTAAAAGCATGGACATTCAATCTCATAGGCGTCAGTTTACTTAAATGCAATAGAAAGTAATTATTCGTGTGAAGGAACTTGCTTTCGATGATTTTCTCTGGGATAAAGGAGGCAGAAGAGAAGCGCGCTTTTACACTTACTTTTGCACTCAGCCAAGAGCAGAAACGGAGCTCCTGATTACAATAAGTTAACCTGGCTTGAACCTGTGATCGAATCCAAAACTACTATCTGGACAATGGTCAACTTAAAAAAAACCTGACCTCGATGAGTTTTAAACTTGAGCCCGCGATCTGGTCACGTAATACTAGTCAGCGGAGACCTTGTTTTGACAGTTGCCAATAGACCAATTTCGATATATTAAAATTCAGCCTAACACAGTAGACCTCAGGACGAGGCTCTGGGGAATAAACCCCACAAACCCTGTAGTTATTCCCCTGAGCCTCGTAATGAGGTCTATTGTTTTAGGCTGAATTTTAATATATCGAAATTGGTCTATTGACCATAACATGGATATCCAATATCAGAGATGTACGCTGTAAATCAGAGCTGCATGACTCGGTCGACCTATTAGCTGAACTGCTTATGAAGAAATTGTGTAAAAGGCTGTAGAGTTCTTTGGGAGGAATTTTATCCATGCTCGCATTCCTTTTACGGACCGTAACTACAGGGATTTTTTTTGGACAAAATGCCGACGTGGATACATCAATGTTTTGTTAAATTCATCATTGTTATTCGCAATAATACAAATTTTAAAATATCATAAATCAATTTTGTCCGCGATTCATCGATTTTGAACGCCATAACTCGATGTTGTGTAGCATTCATTGCCTTCCTGAATCATTCATGAGCGACCGTGTACAGCTGTATAACTAAAAGATATTCGATGGAACTACAGACGAGGAAGAGGAAACAGTTTGGGAAACAGGAAGTGATGTAAGTGATGATTTCATTTTCCAACGCTTTCGTTGTTGTTGACCTCTAAACGACATGGCGGATTGGGAAATCGCTGACTGTTTGAATTAGTTGCCTTTCTTTCGTCAGTACGTCAGCTGTGGCTTGACGCACGCTTTACCAGTGCCTACCTAACTGCACATGAACTGATGAGAGACAATGTGAAAGTGAAACAAGAAATGTCAACTTACCACTGACGCCCCTCCATACGTGATGTAAATAAACAGAGCACAAACGATGAAAGCACGGGAAAAACTCTAAAAATAGATCAGTAACAGCAACTGTGAGCGTTCTTGATCTCTGATGGTCGAGAATTTGTTTCATATAAGAACAACAACAACAACAACTACTTTTATTATGTATCAGCGCACATTTATAGTATAAGCTACCCACAAGTAGCAGAGTTATTCAAGGTGGGTAATGGTAACTAATTTATTATATGGCTCGCTCCGTGGGCGGCAAGATGAACCAAATCCTGCGCTGTGATTGGCTAAACAGGCGGGCGAGATGTCGCTATCTTGCCCTCTCGTGACTACCCGCTTTGTCCCGCAAGAAAAATTTCCCGAAAGCCATATAATAAATCCTTTATTGACCATGCTTGTTCGGTCAAGATGGCTGGATATTGGCCTCGTTCTCTTTTTTACGAGTTTATGGACCTTGACTCCGTCTCGTCGCAAAAAGAAAAAACATTGGCCAATATCCAGCCATCTTGACCTCACGCTTGGTCGATAAGCACATATTAGATAATGTTCGAAAAAGAGAAGAGGATCCAGACCTCGAGCTATGGGGGCGGAAGGGGGGAGGACGTTTTTGTATTCCTTGCCCTGCCGGCTTTTCTTCCTTCTGTGATTTCTTCTTTATTTTACTCAAAATAAGGGGGGAGGGGGCTCCCCCTAGATCCGCCACTGTGGCAGAAGTGTTTTGCTGCTCCTGGGGTAAAAGCAGTGAGGATACATGTAGTTGAAGGAGCATTGAATTAACTACCATAGGTTTATAATTTTTCCTGTAAATGAGGCAAACAAAGCGAGGGGAGCGAAAACTAAGGATCCCTAAAAACAAACTTCTAGGAGGCTTCTTAGATGCTTTAACATAGTTTGTCGATTATAATGGTTGTGTTAAATCAACAATTGACCAATTTCCATATATGAAAATTCAGCCTAAAGCAATTACTAGCTCTAGGGAATAACTACAGAGTATGTGGGGTTTATTCCCCAGAGCCTCGTGCTGACGTCTATTGTGTTGAATTTTAATATATCGAAATTGGTCTATTGCCGGACTGGCGCCCGCATCTAGATGGAGTTAAATCTTTTCTTTCGATTTGTTTTTTGGAGTAACCAAAGCGGTAGAAAGAGGTAGAAAGCGTTGTTTCTACCCAAACGGTTTTGGGGTAAGTAACGGTTTATAATCTTCCGTTTCCAGTGTTTCAAGATCCCCGATGAAAAAAGCTAGAGTTTACAAAACGTTTAACGTTACGAATATCCGTAATGTAAACAGGCTGCCTTTCAAAGGTAGCAAATATAGCCAGGCCCAGAGTTAAGCCAGATAGAGCTCGTTGCACGGTCTTAAGATGATCGAGATCGTAACGAGAGAGGCTGTTTCTATGATACACAAAAGTGGCAGTCGACTAAAACAAACTATTGTGGGCCAAACAGATACAACGCAAGTGAAAAGAAAAAAAATTAATCACAGCAAAACTCATTATGCAAAAATGTTCTTTGAGTCAGTGACAAATATGATGAGGAATGTGTCTAATAACAATAAAAATAAAAATAAACTGAACTAAGTCTTCATGAGTACATACCATTTTCGCAGGCAACTAAAGACCTCTTTGTGGTTCGAACTTCACCCTGAGACTGGTTCATTTCTAGTAAGGAATCGCCGCTCTTTTATCTTGCTCTGTAAGGAAGTGGAACAGAGTTTGATAATATCCTTGGCAAACCTCAATCAGCACGTGTCACTCTTGCAACACGTGCAACACGTGCAGCACGTGCAGCACGTGTAAAATATTAAATGTCTCACAACGAAGCAAAATAGAGAAGTCCGTTTCAGCAACACGTGCAATACCCGTGCAAGTGCAATACCCTTAGCTCCTGACCTCGATTATCACGTGTAAGGTTTTTTCTTATTATAATCGCAAGGAAGTGAATTAGAGAAGGACCGTTTCAGCAGTAGGGGAAAATAATGTTTTCGGAAACTTACTTCACGCTGTCAGATAAGATCCAGATAGACTGTATTCTTGTTGTATTCTTGCTTTCTGGTACATCTCTACCGGAATGCGTGTACACCAGTTCAATAATAACAATTCAACACATCAATAAAGAACGAAAAATAACATTAAACCCACTAAGCAAGAATAAAATTTTAGCCCCTAGAAGTCGCTCAACAATAACCGAATCGTGATCACTGATTTCGCCTGACAACAGCGATACTGGTTTGGCTATTCAGAGCGGAAAAACGTAACAAGCATGCGCCAGTTTTGACTGTGCCCCAGGCTCCAAGTTTGAATAAATGGTGGGAATTTCGTCGATCGTGTAAACAAAAATGGTTACGAACTTTATATGCTTTCCCAATATTCCGGGTAAGCAGCAACATTTTAACGTCACATCCGATGTAAAGCTGGTGTATTGTTTTTGTGGGGATCGGTCAATTATTTTTGGACAAACTTTAGCTAAAGACAGTTTCCGAAACCTTTATTTTCCCGCAATATACAAGAAATTTTGTTGCGAAGACACATTTCTCCACAAACACTCTTTACATAATGCATCCATATAACAACCCACTGAAAACAAAAGCAAGAGAGCCTCTCAGCAGGCAGGGAGAGACTTATTTTCTTAACAGTGAAATGATTGCCCAAGTATAAATGAATCAACCGAGCGACATCCTTGCGTACCTTGTTTCAGTCCTTGATGCAGCTTCGGTATTATTACTGAGCCTGTAAATAAGACTAGTTTTGCGCAGAAAGTTGCGAAGTACGTTTTTCTTGTTCTCAGGTTTGGCTATAAAACTCAACTACCACATGCGAGTTAGGGTTGTAGTGACTCCCGATTACAGCCCAGATAACGTAAGCCTTGTGTCAAATTAAAGATAATACGACGAGCTTTTCGAATATTTCTTTAATTCTGTGAGAAAATGAATTATTGAGTTTAAACTTGAGGGTTTATATCAACGTTTAAAAGCTATATATAACTCCGGCATAGTCAATCGAACGTTCGGAAATCGAACCCTGTCGTACACAATCCATGGATTGAGTTCGATCGAGTTCGGCAATCGAGCAACTTTGTTTGAGTTCGATTTCTGAACCAATCTATTCTAATAAGGAGAAGGAATTCAGGAACAAATGGATTTTTTTTTGTCTCTATAAAATTGTATCGTGTCCTGTTTTTTTCTTTTCGGCTTTTGTATTTTGATTTATTTCTTTTCGTTACCTTTTTATTCAAGAATCTATTGAGTTCTAGAAATTTAAAACCCTAAAAATAGTATAAGTAGCAAACAAAATTCTTACTAGTGACTCAAACAATTAATGTACAATGACATTGTAAATATAAAAACTGTAATTGAATTTGGCTAGTGTGATTGTATTGAAATATAGGTATTGTAAGTAGTGCAAGTTAAAGTAATGTAAGTATGGTGCAGAAAGTAAGTATAGTATAAGTACATATGTAAGTAATAAAGTAGTGTAAGACCCTGTAAATAAAGTTGCATTGAAATAAAATAAAAACAAAAAACAACAACAAAAAAAAAAAAACAATCCAGTTCAATCGAAGAAATCGAGCTCTTTGGAACTCAATTCATCAGTTAGACTGTCTTCGATTGAGTCCGACAACCGAACGCAATCGAAGAAAATCAGTGGATGTTATTCGTGTTTGGTGAATAAATTAGCTTGAAGAAAGGTCGTATGTTATGTTGTCTGACTGTCCGCTCGGTTATTGTTCTATACGCTGAACGTTCACGGTAACGTTAAATGTCTTACAGTAAAGTGAAATAGAGAAAGGACCGTTTCAGCAATAGTGGAAAACATGGCGATACACTTAGCAAACCTCAACCAGCACGTGCAAGATATTTAATGTCTTACAAGGAAGTGAAATAGAGAAGGAACAAGAGATGAAAACATTGCGGTACACTTGGCAAACCTCAACCAGCACGTACAAGATATTTAATGTCTTACAAGGAAGTGAAATAGAGAAGGAACAAGAGAAGAAAACATTACGATACACTTGGCAAACCTCAACCAGCACGTACAAGATATTTAATGTCTTACAAGGAAGTGAAATAGGGAAGGAACAAGAGATGAAAACATTGCAGTACACTTGGCAAACCTCAACCAGTACGTACAAGATATTTAATGTCTTACAAGGAGGTGAAATAGAGAAGGAACAAGAGAAGAAAACATTACGATACACTTGGCAAACCTCAACCAGCACGTGCAAGCTATTCAATGCCTTACCAGGAAGTGAAATAGAGAAGAAGCGTTTAAGCAAGAGTGGAAAACATTGCGATACATTTGGCAAACCTCAGACAAACCTGAAACCTCAACTGATTTTGGTTTCAAATTATCAGTAAATAGAACTATAGAAAATGGAACAAACTGCAAGACATAAATTGCAAAGGAAAACGTCAACAAACCAAACAATTTAAATCCAAGAAGAACCGGCCGTCCTAAATGTGGAAGCAACTTAGGCAATAAATCTGAAAAAAAAAAAAGTCAAGCTTTTGGAATCGAAGCCGCGACGTTTGCGAGACCAGTGCGGAGCTCTGCCAATCGAGCTTCTTTCAGCTGCAGTTTCAGTAAACAAAATTTTATGTGGTCTACATCCACGTATTCACAAAACGATTGCCTTGCCGTTAAATATTTATCGCTGCCGGTCAGTGCACTGAACAGGAGACTCGGGATGATTTTAATTGTTAGTTTCTTCAAAGACAAGAAAGTGTTGGCATGTTATATGAGACACAAGGTTATATCAGGCTCTTAATTAACTGTGCCTTAAGATGTA